CTAACACTCATGCCATACCTGATCGATAGGAAGACCTGTGCTGGTGGACAGGGGTTTGAATAGTAGGCTACCGGTGTAGACCTGAGCACCACTTCGGGTGGACATTGCGTTTGCGATCCAATCGGTCCACAGTTTGCCTCTTATTGTGACGAAAAGCACAACAAATATGTCTTAACTCTGAATATACGCGCGAATTATAATGGCATTGATTTCACATACAATTCAGTAGTAATTATGTAATCAAATAATAATGACTATAATAAACGGGTCGTTGCTTTTATATTTGGCCACAAAATGTGTGTTATATTTATTGTAATTATTACAAAAACACAAATATTTTCCTATTTATTAAATCATGCAAACACTTCAAGTGAACTTTTTTCATATATACTTTACTTATTAATATTTAACTAAAACTTGAATCGTAAAAATATATATAATTTAATAATTTGTTCACAAAATATATTTATTTCGCTTATTATTCACGCTTTTATATATCATACGAAATAAAAACAACAAAACTTTGAAATAATCAAAAACTTATCACTCATTGACTGCAAAACTCGTGCACTTTATATACAGCTTAGTAGTCCTAGTAAATGGTGAACACATAGACAGCTAATTGCGAGACACTGTATGTGTTGACCACTCATTTCAATTGTAATCATAAATACATAACACAATTGGTTTCAACACTGATTGCCAGCATTTCGATGCAATGTTTGTGTTTGTGTTGCTGTCTGTCAGTCACTCCCTCTCACTCTCTCTCCTTTCAAACCAACACTTTTCACATACGGTGTGACGGAAGGGGTGGGCGCTTGACAGGCACTGGTGGTCGCCCGGGAATCATCCGTTACGGCTCACCCGTAATCGTCTACATAAATTGTGCCCAATGTTCAACACTTAATATATTAGCAAGGTCACTATTCAGTATAAAAACTGCGACAAACAACTATTTCCTATAGACTCTACAATACACAGGTTTACGCTATTGTATGGTATGTTCAGTAGAATGGGTGCAGAATATAAAGAATTTTATCAAAAGAATTGTAAGAAATTTACTAATTTTCGAGGCGTTTATCACTTCATTGTTTGCATTTATATTGCAATAAATTGCTTAAAACCTGCAAATCCGAGTCCACTGGCGTTGCAAATGACTTCGCCGAGGATCCAGGCGTGATAGTACTTGAATCGGGCCATACATGTGGCGCATAGTATGTACACTAATTTTGATATGAAAGACGTCTCGTCCAAGAATTTGTCCTCTAAATCACAGCCAAAACATAACATTAAAGTTATACACAATTCATTCATTTATTCATTTTAATAAAGTTATTGTCATTCCGACAGTGTCTGGCATTAATGCATTAATTAAAATAAATTAATGTTTTGTTATCCAATTACTATTATCGTAATAATAATAGTGCTTTTATTTACACTACGGTATACTGTATGTGCAGATTTGTACAAATTATTCTTTATATGCCTATTATATTCTCATTGATACGTTAGGAAGTGTTATTTAATATGCGATAAAAGAAATGTTAATTCATTTATTCAATCAATGTATTCAATAAATCATTAAATATTTAATAAAAATCTAGAGTTAAGTGAAAAATGAGATGAAATGTAATCACAAGACACGTAAAACATTCATTCAAATCAGTGAATGAATTCATTAGAAACAAAACAAATTCTTATCGCAGGGATGGGCACAGACTTACATTGTCTCAGACCTAACCCTTAACTACATTTACATTCGCATCGATTTTATTACAATTTTTAGGAGTTTTCCCGTTAAACTCAAAAAGCATTAATGAAATTAAATAAAAAATAAAATAAAATAAATTAAAATAATACGAAAAGCTATCAATTTTCTAATAAACCAATAAACTTGTCATCGATTTAATATTACCGGTAATATTACATCAAGATTCAATGGATTAATAAATTCAATGACTAATAAATTATTCAATACATGTAATGTTATTAAGGAAACTCTCATTAAAACATTAAATCATAGGATAAGATAATTTAAGGACAAACTTAAAGCCAATATCATTTGATATGTCATTCAGAAAAAATTAGATAAATGGTAGGGTTAGGCTACAAACGGAATGGTAGGTTAGACTACAGTAGATATTATTTACAATTAAATATTATAATTAAATATACATTATATTGCGAAATGCAGTAAACATATAAATAAAACAAAATATATTAAAATAATTACAAAATAATGAAATTTATCCAAAAAATAAAAACTAAAGTTAAAGGGCATGGAAAGGGTTGTTCGGGTGGACATACCTGTGAGATGTGTGATGGGAAACATGGGTGCAATTGTCACTAGAAGTACGGCGAATGATACGCTGACAAACAGTTTGCGGAGTACTGCCCACTATTTAATAGATACGATATTAAATATAAGAAAAAATTAAAAATCATTTGGGAGTTAGGGCTAAAAATTATGCTCAATATAAAAATGCATTCCTATTTGATTTAGTACTGAAATCGAAAATGATGTTTATTGTCTGAATTACTAACAACTAAAAAAATAATTAAAAATAATATTCTAGTAAATTAAACCTAAACTTAAAACCAAATGTGTGAGTCATTTATAAATCAGTATTTAGTTTTATTGTATTTAGAAAATAGCCCGCACAGTATAATCTGTGTTTAGTGAGCAGTAGGGCGAGGGGTTGAGGGCGGGAGTGATGGGTACAGACCAGAGGCGATGGCATAGGACGGGAGGACAGTTTGCTTTGGATGTGTCTCTCGAAGTTCTTTCCGCTAATGAATTCGATGTAATCGTTGTAGAAGACTAATGGACAGGGCGGGAGTGATGGGTACAGACCAGAGGCGATGGCATAGGACGGGAGGACAGTTTGCTTTGGATGTGTCTCTCGAAGTTCTTTCCGCTAATGAATTCGATGTAATCGTTGTAGAAGACTAATGGACCGCACATTAGTGTATGAAATTGAAACACATAACTGTAATACTCCAGAAATGTTGGCCTTTTCCTGTCAATGACAACAAATAACACGAAAAATCAAAATTAAATTAGTATCATTAAAGTAGTTGACTACAGTTTAGTATTGCTTACACACCTAATGGCATATCGCTTTTGATCGGCAGTTAACGTGTCTTCAGATTTAGCTAAACCGTCGTGAAGACTGAACCCAACGTTTGTCACCTTTTGGACAGCGATCATAATTGGACTGAAAAGGGGTCAACCAATAACACAATCAATTTTAAACCATTTGCTGTATTGGGATAAGTAAGTAATTTAATACCCGGTGATGTCTATGGTATACCCGCCGTAGTCGTGGAAAAGCCGTAATAAATGCAAATATGATAAATACATGAGCGCTACGAATAGGACGACCCTTTGCACCACATTTGGACTGCAGGTAAGTATTGCGATGTATGACAGTGTCGTCAATATTAATAAGTTATAGATTTGTCTGTAATTAAACAAAATTCACGTCAAATTAGTTTCGCAGTTATTTAATATAACACTTTTATTCAATCGCTATAGTGTATTGCCTGCTAATTGTGTTTCATGTAATCAATAAAATCGTTATCAAGTAAAGTATATTGTGTATCGGATTAATAAACTTTATAAAATTGATGTACCGGTATTTGTGAGATATTATCAAAATTCATTGTGATTTAAACCAAAAATCATTAAAAACTAGATTTATGGTAAAATTCTTGATTAAGTTTATATCTGTCATTAAACTTAAACTTTGAGTTTAAGTAAAAACAAAATAATTTTTTATTTAAACTTCAATTTTTGAAGCATAAGAATTTGTTCAAATTTGTTTTTAATTCAATTTATTCTTTACATACAGTACAGTACACTGGTAACATTAGTATTTAATAATGACTTCTAAAAGTGTCGAAATATGAATCAAAAATTCAATCAAATGCATACAATGAATACAAATACAAATTCCTATTTCATATCAAAACTGTTTTAATAGCTTTAAATCACGCAATGAAATATTTGGTCCAATAATGTTAAAATTGATTGGAAATAAAATAATAGAAATAACAAAACACACGAATACTATATAAAACATATCATTACTATATGTTTTACGGAATATTACAGAATATTCTGCCCTTAATCTAATATCTCATTGATTTTTCCGATCCATTAATCCTATGCTATAATTATAACAACATTTAACGGAATATATATATATTTCTGTCATTCGCCTCATTCTGTACCTATTATTATCGAAACATATGTATTATTTTCAATTTAAAAAAATTTAAATAATTAAAATTTTGCACGTTTTATCAAAACTAAATGTTAATTACCATTAAAGTACTGTATATTAAATAAAAGGTTAAAAAATATTTATAATAACGTTATCTGCGGTTAGTTTCTTACGATCCCTTATGTAACTCATAAAATATACACAAAATATCTGTTATCAGTCCATGAATTAATGGAAAAGGGGTTCCCATTGAGAGGCAATCAAAGTATGGAAATATTGTTTATAAGGACTAAGGACTTCAACAGCTTATCCGAGGTTTTTATCCTTTAATGGCATTGATATTGTCTCTAAATTATTGGGATTAGAGATACAAATGATTTGTGATTAACACATACACCCCCTGAAGGACAAGGAGATCCCAGATGTGTTACGTAAGCACAAAATCGTACGATTTTTAGGTACATTATTATCTCAACAGAAAAAATATTGTTTTTTGAAAAACTGGCAAATATTTGACAATGCATATAGGTTATTAAATTAAGTAAAATTTACACATTATTATCATATCTACCGTATAACGAATACAATTATCAATATAATTCATTATAACTACTTTTAAGTAATTTTCATATCATTTAGATTTTTAATTTTTTTTTTGTTTCTCAACAAATTCACGGTTCATATGAGAGAGACTTTTAGTGGAAAGACAGAGACAACAGGAATAACTACTTCATGGAAAATAACCGCTAATTTAAATACATTTCAAACACAATGACGTGTTTATGGATAACAAATACACTGAATATATACAGTATATGGCTTACTGTCCGAAACAGAAGTACCCGATGAGAGCACCGGCTATTAGACACGTGTACTGGCGGACAGCGACGGACACCCTCTGATGGGACAGACATTTGCGGAAAACGATGGCGAAAGCGAGTCCAGAGAACTGTGCGATCAAGAAGTTTATCTGATGGACAGACCGTACAATATAGCCATTAGTGA